AATGAACATTTTATTTTATTTAATGTGATTTCTGAGATTTTTTTTTTTTTCCGCCAAATAATGAAGTGATGTTCATTAGATAATTTGGCAAAATGTTTTTAGCAAACTTTTCCTAAGGAAAATACTATTTTCTGTAATCAACTCCTTTGAAAATTTTCAAAGAAATGACAGCTATTTATTTAAACAGTTGTTTTTGTTAAGAACTATTGTTAGTGTAATTTGTAAGTAATTGTATTTATCGTTCAGTGCTCTACAAATATTGTTACCTGGTTTCATTGTACAAAGTGTTTGATATTAGTTTCAGACTTAACACAATATACATTTAATATTGTTTGATTTTTCCACTAGCCTCATCCTAAAGGGGCAGGAATAGATGTGTCCATTAATGACTGCTATGATGGCTCATATGTGGGTAATCCTCATGACCTGTACTCGCAGACAGGTATGGCTTTTAACAGTAGTGGCCCAACTCAGCGAACACCAGTTACCCATGTTATGGTTAGCAAGTAAGTTTGTTAAAATTATGACTTGTTAATGATTGATAAAATACTGTCATATGGAAACTAGACCATATAATAAAAAATATAAATAAATATATACATGTATTGAAATGCCTTATTTATTGTATGAATGAGAAACTAAAGATACATGTTTGGTTTCAGTCAGTTGTCAGCCTTTTTTGAGGGTGAAAAATGTGCAAAAGCTTCTTTGCCTAGGAATTAACTCTGCTTGCTTTGATAACATATGACATATTCAAGTAATAGCTAATTGTTTAAAAAAATGCTACTAGCAATGGCATTAATAATTACCTGAAGAAGCCACTGTAATTGTCAGATTTAAGATATTCTTTTTTTGCCAATTGTCAAAATAAAAAGGCATTTACTTAAACTTTGTAGTAGTATAAATATATACTGTGTTGATGTTGGGCTTAGGATTCTTCTACAGTAGGTGTCTGTGACTTGTTGGCAATAAATTCAACGATAAATGAACAGCACACACTTTACTTGTTTTCAAAATAATATGACATGGCCTTTCACCTGTGACCCGTCTTGAAAGGGTTAACTAAATACTTGTGTTTTAGAACAGGGGTTCACAAATTTTTTCAGTCCTGTTTATAAGTATCTGTTCTGACTACTTCTGTCTTCACTCAGAAATTTCTAAAATTCATAACATATTATAAATAATGGGTATCCCTTTATTTCTTACACACTTTCACACAACTATTTTTAACAAATAAACTAGAACTTACCAAAAAGCCACACATTGCCTCAAAATATTTGCTAGTTCTTACCACTCCTTTCATGACTAAACAAAGTTTTAAATTTATATCCCAAAATCATTACCTACAAATTAAGCTACGTTTAGTATTTAAGTCAACATTAAATCCAAATGTGTCTTTTATCCAATTGTATAGTAAGAATAACATTCACCACATCCTTCTTAAAACTTTAAGTTTTTCTCTACTTTGGAACAAAGAATTATAAATTCTTTATATAAGAAAACCTTTCCATTTTCAATGATCACATAACACGAAATAATATCATCAACTTTACCCTGTTGTACTTAATAATTTACATATTTCTATTGTTTTTATGTATTATTATTTTTATTTTGTAAGATGTAGGTGTTTAAGCCTTTCTTTATGATGTTTTCTCATAAGCAAATGTGCATGGGATCAATCCAATGCACTTACCCTGTAATGGAGAAGAAATGGTGATTGTAATTCTAAATTTACTACATGTATCTACATGAAATGTGGCAAGCTTTTAAGTGGAGTACTCCATTGTACATAAAAAATCAGTTGTATTACAAAAGTATATGTACTCAAGATATGTCTGACAACAAAAGGCTGACTCAGACTCTAACAATTTGGAGTGCAAGATGGTGTTTATGTGAAGAATAAAAATACTTTTGCTCATTGTACTTTTTGCATATTGCATTTGCATAACCTCATGAACCTTCAAAATGTATATGTACATTTTTTCCCATATCCCTGTTAATTATAACTGGTATTCATTTTACCACAAACTGTTGCTAATTCATTGATGTAGAATAAGATGAATAGTTGATAACTCTGACATCAAATACATAATACCGTGCTGAGTGGTACTCTTTAAAAAGTTATGGCATGTGAACTTTGACCCACATAGGGTTAACAATATTATTAAACATGTGCTGTATGTTTTATTGTACATTCTGTTATATTGTTAAATCTGTATTCTTTCTAAACTTTTGGTTGTATAAGTAACCTTTCGCTTTGTAGCTATGTTTTTTTTTTGTAGTTAGAATATTGTAACTAACTTTTTGAGGCTTTAATGCTGATGATAGTTTGAAACAATTCCAAAATGTCCATAATTAAATATGTGTTATGCTATTACCCTATTAGTAATATTTGTTTTCCACCTAATGAATCAGTTACTTTAACAAATATCTTTTAACCCTGATTTATGGCGAGGGGTCAAAATGTGCATATCACAATGTTTTTATTACATTCAAAATTTTATTTAAAAACATTATTGTCAATGTATGGCAGTAAACTTGGCATGAAACATAGTTTATAATTCAAATTTTAATATTATACAAGTTTCCGTTTCTTAATTTAAAAAGGAAATATTTTAATAAATTCTCTGTTTTAATGTTCTTTCTTTCTTCTCTTATATGGGTTTACAAATGTCTACCAATTTTATATGCCAACTATAAATATTGACAGCCGGAACTTCTTACTTTCTGAGATAGTAATAACTTTCTTACACCCATCACAGGAGCTCCTCCCAACTCTACACACTTTTGAAATCATTTATTTACTCGTGTCTTTTTGTCAGTGGTACATGTTTATAACCAGTAGAAAGGCCATTTTGTGAACTTTGTGATTATGTTGATGGTATTTTCATTTATCATAATTAAAAATGTCATTTTGCCAGTAGATTTTATTGTATGTAGACTGAAGTAGGTGCTCCTCTAAATAATAAAAACTTTTAAACCTCCTTATAGGTTAATTAGAAGGCCAAAGAAATTACAGTTGTTTTGGGGCTTTCTATTTTAGTTTGTGTTTGAAAATGCATATTTGAGAGCCACGTGAATTAGATGTGCATGATATAATCTGATCTATTTGTTTACTTTGCTTGTTACAGTAGTTAGACATGACAGAGCAATATAATTACATGAAAGCAGTTGTAAAACGTTAAGGGGACAAAGCTTTTAAGATAAATAATTGTAAACATCTGTTAAAATTTTCAGTCATTCTACAGAATAAGAGTATTTTTGATTTTATTTCATATTTTTCAACTTTTTTTACAGAAGATTTCACTATGGTTAGTGTTAGGGTAGAGAAAATAAGAGGTGAAGTATAAAGTATTATAAGAAAAAAACAAACTTGATATTCATTCAAGAGGTTCTATAGGCTATGCAAATGAAATAAGATAAGTGTAAGATGAAAATCACCTTGCACCAGATCAGTCAGTCTGAGTGAAATTGACTCAGTAAATTCACAGACAAATCTTTAGTAAAATACTTTTTAAAACATTTTGATTTCTTTGTGTACAACATGTAACACTTACTAAAAGCCTACCAAATTTTGTGGAGATAGACTTGGTAAATTCAGAATTATAGTAAATATTAAATCTTCAATATGGGTGGTCAGTCCAATGGACCAACTCCATGCACATAGGGTTAATATCTTGAAAATCCAAACTTAAGATAGACTTTTAATTGAGAAATGAACTATTTAATGATAATTAGGGTGCACTATCCAGTGTTTGGTAAACAGTCAATAAGCTGTGCAATTTGTGATACAAAGAAGAATGCATCTTCACTGTTGGTTAATAAACTACTCAATATATTTCATGATTTTTGTAAATCCACCATTTTATATTGTGTATTCACATGACATTAATATTAGATTGCATTTATTTTTTATATGTAATCCACAGTCTGCCTACTTATAATAATAGGCAGCATAAGTAAAAGTACGTGATATTTTCTGATACTAAGGCATATTCTGCTTCGGCAATATTTAAAATTTATGTTAAATTATTATGGTTTTTGTGTTTGTTTTATGTAATCAAAATAAGTTAGTTTGGATAGAAATTTCAGTAAAATGTAATCATATCATTTTAAAAAAATACTCGCCATTAGTACCAAAGTCAATCTTAAGACATTTTATGTTGCTCATTTTACTTACTCTGCAAAAGTGCATAGGGAATATAAATATACTCTCTTGATAGATAGATAGATTAGTACACTAGTGCAATATTATGGGTAAATGCTAAAACAGGCATGAATTTGAGAGATTTCATGATACTGATAGTGTGTAAAATGAATTATGCAAAGTAAACATAATGTTTGATTAAACACATTGTACTGTGCTTTAGTCCATTCAAAACTTATCTTATTGATATTGTGAAAAGGTGCCAGAGTGTTAAAGGGCAACAATCGTTAGATTGTGTTATGTTCTTCATTAATGTAGACACTTATGAAGAGCAGGGTTCTGTAAAACATGCATCACCTGCAAGAATGTTTGACATCATTTTTCTTAATACAGAGGTCAACAACAGCAAATCTTAATGAATGATTTGTCAAATATTTTATGGATGGATGAGGTCTGCCTCACTCAGTTCTCAAGCAATGACCTACCATGTGTTAAGAGATAAGCAGGTGAACAACTTGACTGAATGTGTTGTTTCAACTGTGAAGGACTATAAGTAGGTGAACAACTTGAGTGAACTTGTTGTTTCAACTGTGAAAGACTAAGCAGGTGAGCAACTTGAGTGAACTTGTTTCAACTGTGAAGGAGTAAGTAGGTGAACAACTTGAGTGAACTTGTTTCAACTGTGAAGGAGTAAGTAGGTGAACAACTTGAGTGAACTTGTTTCAACTGTGAAGGAGTAAGCAGGTGAACAACTTGAGTGAACTTGTTTCAACTGTGAAGGAGTAAGCAGGTGAACAACTTAAGTGAACTTGTTTCAACTGTGAAGGAGTAAGCAGGTGAACAACTTGACTGATCTTGTTGTTTCAACTGTAAAAGACTAAGCAGGTGAACAACTTGACTGATCTTGTTGTTTCAACTGTAAAAGACTGTAAGCAGGTGAACAACTTGACTGATCTTGTTGTTTCAACTGTAAAGGACTGTAAGCAGGTGAACAAGTTGATTGATAGTGTTATTTCAACTGTGAATGACTAAGCAGGTGAATAACTTGACTGATTGTGTTGTTACAACTGTAAAAGACTGTAAGCAAACGAACAATTTGACTGATTGTGTTGTTACAACTGTAAAAGACTGTAAGCAAACGAACAATTTGACTGATTGTGGTGTTACAACTGTAAAAGACTGTAAGCAGGTGAACAATTTGACTGATCTTGTTGTTTCAACTATAAAAGACTAAGCAGGTGAACAACTTGACTGATTGTGTTGTTTCAACTGTAAAAGACTGTAAGCAGGTGAACAACTTGCCTGATCTTGTTTCAACTGTGAAGGACTAAGCAGGTGAACAATTTGACTGATTGTGTTGTTTCAACTGTAAAAGACTGTAAGCAGGTGAA